AGACCCTTTAAGCCATCAGCGGAGAGGAGAGCCCCTCGCATCCTGACCATCCTGTCGTCATCGCCATCGCGCTAAACTTGAAACGCTCCACAAAACGCAGCTCAGCCCCGAGTTCTTTTCCTGTTTATTCAGAGGCGTCGCCAAGGGGGCTCGGAAAGGTAACGAAAAAATATATATTTAATATAATCTAAACTAATATAAAAGGCTGCATAAAAAACTGGAAGTAGCTAAATTCAACCAGAACGGATTGACCAAAAAAAATTCTAAGATAATAAAACTTATATATTTATTATAAATATTTATTATTCACAGTTTATATTGGTTTATATTCATATTTTGTATCCTTAGTTCAGCTTTTGTTTTAATAAAAACATCGCAAAACTCCAAGGTAGGTCTTATAATATTATATATTTTTTTACTGCTTGTTTTGTAATGTGTAATTTAAAATTACAAAAAGAACCAAACATTTTAAGATTTATTTTTTCTGTAATTTTTTCTCGTATTTCCCCAGTTTGTCTATTTTTAAAGCCCTTATTATTTAGCACCCTCAAACATTATTTAGTTGGGAATCACGACATACTTGAGGAGCGTTATTTATTTACCACATTTTATCATCGACACCTCTGAACTCTGCAAATGCTTTCAGACTCTTCAATATGCACCGGTGTATTTTCAACAAAGTGGATTAGAATGGTCCTTATGACCAGGCATGTCCAGGACTTCCAAAGGGGCAGGGGGACTTTCAGAGGGTCTGCGGAACGAGAGACAGCAGTTAGATGAATGACCATCGATGACTAGATGGAGCATGGAGCCACAGTAAACTGCGGTTAAGGTGCAAAGGGGCCAGATAGAAGAAGACAGAGAGATATTCGGTCGAAAGAGAGGGGAGAGGGGGTATTAGCCTCCAATGCATTTCATATTTTTCTGTTGCGATGGTAAAACCACCGCAAAAGCTCAATGGCCAAACGATGGCCCAAAGCAAAATCACTGCCAAAGCCCCCGGAACCAAATGAACCTGCACCTTTTTGGGGTTTGGGTTTGCCAGGATTTTTATGCCGTTCTGTCTGGAAAAAAGCCTTTTACCTTTTACCCACTCGTACAACTATTTTTCGATATGGTTTTTAATACCTTTACCAAATGGAATTAAGAACTCGTGGGGTACTTTAGCTAATTCAAGCACGATAATTGAATTAAATATATTATTATTAAAAAATATAAAAAAAATTCTTTATTTAAAATAAATATTTGTTGAATAAATTTAAATTTATGAATAAAAAGTGTATATTTTAAAAATTGCTTTAATTAACTTGTGACTAGTTAGAGCATTAAATATGTTTTTTCAAACGTTTGCTGAGCATTTAGCTCCCCCTTTTGGTAACATTTTCTGTTCTGTTGGTATTTATTTTATATTTGATTTTCGATTTGGTTGTGTCTTCTGTTCTTTTTTTTTTGATTTTGATAACGTAGTATTTTGGTTTGTTGTCGACTGTTTTATTTTTATTTTTGTTTGTTTGTTTGGGTACAGATTTTTGGGAGGTAGGACCGCACAGCCACTGACAAATTCTAATTGAACTCCGGTGCAATTGGCAGGGAAAAGTGGGTGAAAAGGGGGTTTTATAGGGGGCTTTATACATAGAGCGTAGGGGATCTTGTTTGAAAGGCGCTTAGCAAGCCGAGACAAGGCAGAACAAAAATGTTTAGTTACAGTCGAATGACAGTCGCCTTTTTACCCCCTCCCCAGAGTTTTGGCAACTGTCAAAATACAGATGCATGCCAGGGGCGTACTATGAAGGGGGTGGGGTGGGGATCGGGCGGTTTTTAAGGGGACAAACAAACAAACAAATAAACACCGCAAACGTGAGACGAACCGATGATGCCGACACATTCGTATACACACGGGTTAAGCCGCTAGTCATTCGTTGATTGCTGTGCTATTTCTCTCTCTCTCTCTTTTTATCTCCCCTCTCTCTTTCACCCGAACCATGTGGCAGGCAACCAATTAGGTGACCCTGTATGACACTCGCCCACCTGCCACGCCCCAACCACCCACAAGCCCTTTTGACAGGGGTCAAAAATGTCAGTGAAAATGCAAACTTTTTCCATTACCTTTATTTAGAAGGTATATTGTGCTGAAAGTTACGTTGAATAATGAAATTTAAATTTCATTGAGTACTGATAACTTTATTAAACCTCGTTATTGAAGGAGGAAACACAGAAATGCTTTCGATAAATTCATAATAAATATGTGCAATTTTCGATTATATTATCGATAGACAGTTTAGGTTACGGTTTCAATTTTGGTAAATATATTTCCATATCAAAAATTCTAATTAATATTATTCAACAGCGACTATAAAATGCGTACGATAAATTCAAAATAGAGTTGAGAACGGTTTAGGTTTCTTTGTTTTTTTAAACTATTAAACTATTGATTAATATTATTCTTTAGCACTTATAAATGTTATTAAGTAGGGTAGCTTAGTGTCTAAAATTTCGACTTTATTTCGTATTTACACTCCAGCTGCATCCTTCGGCTTCCATTTCTGGCTGGCCAGAGTTGAACGCACATTTGCGGTGGCCATTCGGCTTGCCACTCACTTACTCGCACTCGCAGCCCGCAATGATGATATTGATGCACTTAAACTCCGCTAATACACTGGGAAAAATTTCAAAATGTCAATTTGAATAAATTTGGAACATTTGATAAAAAATAAAGATTTGTTAACAAACGAAGGTAAAAGTTAATACCTGGTTTTAAAAATTAAAAAAATATATATTTCAAAATCAACTTAAAATGTAATTTTTCTCAATATTTTGCTCTTGCCACCAGGTGCTGCGTTTTGCATGTTGCAGATGGAGTTGCAGTTGCAGCAGCAGCAGATGCAGTTGTTGCTGCAGCTGTGCGCCTAATGAGGATGGGCAGCAATGCGGCACGTAGCATCGGTGGCAACATCGGGCGAATAATCATCATATGTCCGGCGGAAGTGGAGCTGCCCTGTAACTCCCAGACTTTCGACAGTCCTTCAGGCATTTAAATAGTGGCCAAAAAGTTAACAAAGCACATGAGAAAGGTCAAATTATATATATTTAGTAAATGAGAAATTTAGCAAAAATATGGAAGTTATTTTTGAAAAATCATACACATTTTTGAGTAGTGGAAAATTTTTGTAATATTTTTATTTTATTTAATTTATTTACAAAGTACCTCTTACAATTAAATTATAAACTAACAAAGAAATTTTACACAATTATGAAAGTAATTTAGGAAAATTTATAAAGCATTTTCTTTTTAAAATACCTCTTATAAATACACCTACAAATATTAAAGATATTTTCCCCCAATCCTAATTAGCCCAGTTCCACAACAAAAGCCCCCAAAAAGTCCAGGTGGAAATTTCCTTGGGGCAAAGTTCACATGTCCTCTCGACCAGTGAGTAAACTAACTGCCAAAAAAAAAACCAAAACGAAAAGAAAAACCGAGATGGCACACGCACACTGCCTGTGTGTGTGTGCTTGCGTGTATGTGTGGTAGTGTGTGTAAATACGTCAACAATTTTGTGCAAAGAAGGATTTCAATTTCCTTTAAGCGGAAGCGCGCTGTCAGTTTCGCATTTTGCGCCACAAATCATCAACTCTATCTGGCCCTCTGTCCATGGCCATGGACTTTCAACCAGATACCATATAGATTGCAACAACACTGCACTTTTTTGGGGGGGATTGTGGGGGAGGGGGGGGATGTGAGTGAGGAGAGGGACTGGGGGGCGTGGCAGGAGCAACAGCTACACATCATCCATCCATCCATCTAACAATAAGCGTCCAGCAACAGCTCCTACTTCAGGCCAAGAAGCGGAGGAACGGAGCGAAGCCATCCATCTAGTCAGCCATCAGTCAGTTTGGGGCAGTTTTTGCATCGTAAGTTGGGGCTACACTGGGAGAAAATATGTATGACTAGGAGCTATGAACCTGTATATATTATTACTGCTAGGAAATATGTTTCCAATTCCCATACAAGATTTTATAAAGATATTATTATGGGCGACATAAAATATATAAAATAATTATCTGTATTTTAATTTTAAAAAATCAGTACTAATACTACCATTAAAATTTGGTAATCAACAATATTTTCGTATCACATTTAAATTAATTTATTTGTATATTTCAACCCGAAAAAGTATGCTATCTTAGGCCAAAAACATTGTATTAATTATATAGAAAACATGATTTTAAAAATCCTTAAAATATTTAACTGATGTTTAAAATATTGTACTAAAAATGTACCTAATAAAGTATTATATTTTTATAAAATTAAAAAAAATATTATTATTTAAAAAATTATTAATCTCTCAAACTAATAACCCCTGCAATGGATTAATAATTTTCAGTGTATTTCTGTTTGCACTGGGGCTTGTCCAACGGGGGGCGGGGGGCGTGGCTAGGTGGACCCGGCCAGGGTGAATTTATAGCAAAATGTCAACAGTTGCCGCGTAAATATGTAAAATTGTTTGTAAATAGCAATTTCGTTTTTGAGGCCGCCGATATGCCGTCGATGCCGAAAAGCAAACGATGTGCGTCAATCGAGTGCAAAACGTCGAATGTGGAGGAGAGCAAACTTAATTTACCTTCAATTATGCGAGAGGTGTTAGAAGGAGCGACGGGGGAATATATAGAGCTTGTTGATCTCGAACGGAAGTCAGGTGAGCTTTAATGGCTTCAAGTTTCGGGCATTTTTATGAAGGTCTCAAGGCAAAACCACCATGAACAACAGGTCGTATGAGCTATTTTATGCCAGTATATCACTCATACGCAGTGGTGCTTCACTGTTATTTCTAAAAAAATATATAAAAATAATATATATATACAATTTCTTTATAAAAATAAGAATACCAATAATTAAGTAAAAAATCTAGAATTTATTAAACGTTATCAATTTAAATAGACAACAGGTCGTCTGAGCTATTTTGTGTCTGCATATCACGCATACGCAGTGGTGTCTTTCGTTTTTTGAAATAAGAGTACCAATAATCAAGTAATAAAACTAGAATTTATTCATTTTGGCATCAAGGATGTATGGCTTCAATGGCGAGCGGCATGGCGATGGCCAGCTGGACCTTTCGCTCACCCTCCACTTCCAGTTGGCGATTCATGATATCCTCCGCCTCCTCACCCTCATTTACCCCGATCTCCGAGTGCCAGCGGTGATAGCTGTCGATTCGCGAGGTCAACGGAAAGGTGCTGCACACAGTGGTCAGACTGGAGTTCCGACTCAGGTCCTCGGCGTGCTCCAGCTCCAGCTCGAGGTCCTTGCTGACCGTGGCCACCTTGCCGCGATCCTGATTCACATCCTGCATCTGTTGCTTCACATCCATTATTATTATTAAGGATATTTTTTTGAATTTTTATCACTAAGTCAGGGCCCAATCGGAATTCAAAGGGAATTTATCAATTTCGGTTGACAAATAATGCAAATTATATTTGGATCCAAAATAATCGTAATATAAACTTAAATTTATTTATAAATATCCTTAAAATTTTTTGTTGAATTCTCTAATAAGTTGTTTATTTTTTAAAGTTTTAGAAGGAAAGCAAAGCGGATAAAGTGATGCTGCAACTCCAAATCGCTTTTGCATGCAGCTGACCATGAAGGAACCGCCTCCAGCTTTCTCCTTGACTTTTCCCTCCCCCCACCTCCTTGTCAAATGCCAAATGCCACGCCCACTGACCAGACCACAACGCACCGCCCACTTCCCCCGGGTCAGCAACCTTGATGGCTGGCAGTGCGTTAATTGATTGTTCGTCTGGCCCATCATTATCGGCAGAGGGAAAGTCCTCCCGATTTTGAATCTGGCACATATGGCAGGACGAGGGATGAAAGAGGAGGACGAAGGCACACAGACGGTTAAGGCTGGATAGTGGCCATGCTGATGACGCTGATGGACAGCAGTCGGTGAATAGGGTGAATGGCAGGGGAAATGGCCGAAACAACCAGTGTTGACAAGGAAATTGCTTCCATTTGAGGAAGCCAACAATGGTTTGAGTATTTCGTTTGTTTCTTTAAAAAACAGAGATATTTAGTTGGAAAAATCAAATCATTCAAATTCAAATTTGTACCAAAAAAAATCCTGATTTTCTACCCAAAAAATGAAGTATTTTAATCATAAAAATTGAAATAATGATCCAAATATGGAATGCCATACCTCGTAAAACTCGTAATAAAATTCCCAATAAATCTGCATTTAAACATGGAAATTTTTAGTTTTTGCCAATTTTTACAAAAAATCATGACGTAACCCCTTATCAAAAATGTGAAAATTGGGTCAAATATTTATTTTCTTAAATCTTGCAAAAGTTTACTAATGTTAATTATTAGGTTGTTAGCTGCTCAAAACAGCTTTCCTTTTTGGTTTGGGACCATTTTTAACCAAGTTACAAGTTGTTGGTCATAAAAAGTTATAAGTTATATAAAAAGCTATAGTTAAAGCTAATATATTAGCTTAGTAAAAACACATTTAAAGCACAATTTAAAGAGTGATTCATTATTTTCAGCCGGCAAAAAAACAGAAGAAATCAAAATGGGAATGAACCCTATTTTTCTCCCCTTTTGCACTGGAAACGCACTTGTAGATGCCCGCAAATGATTCGATTTTATCGATACTTCGATACCGTTTCGCTTTCCCTGGTGCGACAGAGAGGGGTGCCGGGAGGGACAGGGACAGGGAGAGATAGATGTGGCAAAAATCGGCATTGATTGTCCGTCCGGTTCATTGCAATCGCTGCAATTTAAGCGGGCAAACTTTTTGGCTCACTTCGCTCCGGTTGCTGCCGCTCCTTTTGGCCCTTTTTGTTTTTGGCCTACATAGAACACGGATATGAAACGCCGACTCTATCTATCGCCCCATCTCTCTTGTTCTTGGCGCTACACTGGCCAAATTAAATTAGGACTTTTGCTTCTCATAAACAAAAATATTTGACTTTTAGGAGAATTAGAAACAAATAAATATTAAAAATTGTTGAATGATTATTTATATTTATACCCGTTACTCGTAGAGTAAAAGGGTATATTAGATTCGTGCAAAAGTATGTAACAGGTAGAAGGAAGCGTTTCCGACCCTATAAACTATATATATTCTTGATCGGGATCACTAGCCGAGTCGATCTAGCCATGTCCGTCTGTCCGTCTGTCTGTCCGTCTGTCTGTCTGTCTGTCTGTCTGTCTGTCTGTCTGTCTGTCTGTCTGTCTGTATGAACGCTGAGATCTCGGAAACTATAAAAGCTAGAAGATTGACATTTTGCATGCAGATTCTAGGAGTTCCTACGCAGCGCAAGTTTGTTTCAAAAGGGTGCCACGCCCCCTCTAACGCCCACAATCGCTTATATACGATTTTAAAAATTTCAATATTATGGAAAAGTAAAAATGCAGTTTTATTGTGTTTATCAATACCTATCGAAATGTAGAAGAAATTTTTTAAATTGGACCATTCGTTAAAAAGTTACGGCGGATCAAAGTTTTTCTCCATCTCTTTCGCACTCCCTTTAGCTGAGTAACGGGTATCTGATAGTCGGGGCACCCGACTATAGCGTTCTCTCTTGTTTTTTTTTCAATTTATTTTGTAAAATTTAAAAACTAAATTCCTAATTTATTTGTTTTATTTAAAAAAACACAATAATTAGTTTTGAATTTCTAATTTATCAAAGTGTATTATATGACCGTCTCGCTCTGCGGACTGTAGCCGTCTCTGTCTCACCGCAGTGGAACTTTTTTAATACGCAACACGAGTGACCCGCTTGCGGACAATTGGAATTGTAACTTTTGATTAAATTCGTTGCAATGGCAACCGGGTGAAAAATCGAAGGGAACGGTTGTGAAGCGGGTAAAAAAGGGGTGGTGCGGGTAAAAAAATGGGGTGGACCGGAAGGAGAACCGGGAACGCTTGTGTTCAAGGCAAGCCAAAGGATAAACTTTTTGCGCTGGTTTTTCAATTGCATTTGATTACCTTGTTGCGTGGGCGGACACTCCGCTTGTTGCTCTCTCTCTCTCTCTCTCTCTACCCGCTCTCTCTATCCATCTCTTTCCCTTAGCTTTTGGCTCTCTTTCTTTTCAATAAACTCGGACCGTAACGCCCACTTTCGGGAGTTGTTTGGCCACCACTTGTGAAATCAATTCGAAAACTATGCGAGCCCATGGAAAATATTCCCCCATCTCCCTTATCATTTCGATTCCATTTTTCCATTTTTATTATTATGATATTTATACATCTATCTATGCGTTTAATGTTTGCTCGGCACATTTGCAGAAAATATAAAAATTCTATAAAAACAATTTTGTCCGATATGCGATATTATATGTTTATATGTACACTGTACATGCTTATATGCTGTGCTCTATATCGCTCTGATCCAAGCAAACATACAAATGGACACGGACACAGATGCAAATATTTGCATTGAAAATGCACAAAGCACACCGACTTCATATACAGACGGAGTCAAGATAATAGTAATTTTTAAAATTTATAAGCATTTAATGTATCCTAACTTTTTTTAGAATTTTTTTTTAGATTTATTGAAATATTTTTTAAATATTTCTTATGTCTAAAATTTAATTTTATTTGATTATATTGAATTATAAATTTGGCAAAAAAACACTGCCATAAATAGAAAATATAACTAAATTAATATAATTTGTTTTTAAATATCCGTAATTTCAACAAACATTTTCTTATCTCTTATTATTATTTTTACAACCACCGTTGATGGGATGAAACATTTTGTTTTTGCCCAGGCCTCAAGCTAAATAAATATGTTTTTCAAAATTACAACAAAGGAAACGAAATAACAATTGTTGATGCACAAGAACAAGAAGTTCGAGAAGGAAAAAAGTAAGGGTCAAATAAATACAATTTTAAATTTAAGCGAACATTGGAATTATGGAAAGCAAAATCAGGAGAAATGCGAAAAAGCGTTTAATTTTTTTTTATTTTAAAGTTACTCCGCTCAGGGAAACACTTTGCATAAATCCCGAAATTGTATAAATATATTTCAAAATTTCCCCGGGGGTTCTCAGCTCGTCATTTGTTTTTTAATCAATTAATATTGGAATTTATTGGGAATTATGCCTTGAATATTGGGTAAACATTGCCTGGAGCCTGAATAGTTGAGTGAAAGAGTGACCACAGGGGGAATTCGATGGCCAGTTGTCCATAGGACAAAATAAAAATAAAATCTTGCTCGAGCAAAAATTAAGTAAGATTTTTCTTAGCTGAAAATGTTTACATTTGAGGAATTGCAACTCCTCTTTCGATTCTTCTGTCTTCCTTCACTTCATTCGCTTGTTTCACTTTGTGCTCACTTTTTGCAATTAGGCGAAAAATTCAAATTCAAATCAATAGACAAGGAAAACTTTTGCTGCAGCACGTCGTCCCAGAGAATCACCATATATATAGGGGTGCAGGACCAAGAAGGACCCAGACCAGGCCAATTGGCCAATGCCAGCGGCTCCGTACGTGTTCGGCCAAAATAAACCCGATGCACGTCTAAAAAATTGTTTAAATATATCAATAATTTTTTTTCGATTTTAAAGCGCTTTATAAAAAATGATTAACTCTTAAGTACTCTATACACAAAAATTGATTGAAATTAATAGGTTATGAGGCATGTATACTTTTTTATTAAAAGTGATCAAAATATATTATTAATCGATTTAGCCTTAAATAATCGATAAAGAAAAAATATTCGATTCTTTTCGATTTAGAATCATAGTTTTTTAGAGCATTGCTATTTTTTAAATAGATGCCTAAAAATATATTAAAAGTGTATCGTTCCGTTTAAGGATCCGGGTTCCGGGGCCTGTGAATATTTTTGGGTATGGGGCATTTTCCCCAAGGAGCCGCCGCTGCAACAAGCGAAGATGCTGAAAGGACAGACAGGATCTGGAGCTGATTCTGAGGGCTGAGGACTGAGGCTGACGTTGGGGCTAATGTGATTTCGTACGTTCAATTTGTGAATTGCCTGGAACACACACGTACAGTGGCGGCGGGCCTAAGGGGGATCGGGAAACGGGGGGATCGGTGGGGTCCTGGGACAACGACATATGCATAACTACGTGGCATGTGCATTTTGCTGGCTTTTCTTTTCTTCTCCCCATCTTTGTTCTCTTTTTTTCATTTTTTTTTGGCGGCAGCTTGCTCATTGTCGTGCAACAATTTAACATACAATGTTGAGGAAATTTGTTGGTAATACGAAACTAAAAACACCCAGTTAGGTTCTATGAAAAATGGTCCTATCAATATTATCGATATTTTACATTATCAAATCGATAATATCGATATTTCTAACCTAAAATTTGTGAGTTTATGATTAAACATTGAACAAATCTATAGAATTAAAGTGCAAATGTTATAGAAATGTTTTAAAAAATGTGGATATATTTTACAAAATTTCCTATTTTTAAAATATATTTATCATAAATGATTATTAGATTATACAACTCCTTCTTTGAAACTTTCGCTGGGTATCAGGAACAGCGGACTGTGCGGCAACAATGCTGTCAGCAACATGATTACCTACGGCGAATGAAAGAGAGGGCAGATCGTGGGGGCGAAAGAGAGGGGCAGATGGATGACTCGGTCTGCAGTCTGCAGGCTGCAGTTGAATGCAATTCGTGGCGAGGAGTTCACTTGGAGTTCTCAGTTCCCAGTTCCCCAGATTTCCGACTCAGAAATCGCAGTCCGATGCCAGCTGGAGTTTTGGTTGCATTAAATGTAAGGCACTGTGCCAGACACACAAACACATTGCCGAAAGAGATGGCACTATATGGTAAGGAAAGAGACAGACAGACCGACAGACTGACAGATGGACGAAACTGCGGCAGAGACATTTTGCATTAAAATTAAGGCAAATTTATAATGAGCCAAAATTGTCGTTGCGATGCAATCGCCGCAATATATTATAAATGGCGCATATATATAGCATCATATATATCAGCATATATGAGTGTATGCATATAAAATATAGTATGTGTGCCTGGACGTGACTCTTGACTCCTGATTCCTGACTCCTGTCCCCGTATCCTGGCCCGGCTTTCCTTGTCCTGCTCCCAAGCCCATTATTGGGGTAATTTATAATTTGTTCATTTAAATGATTACAAAGGCAAAGGGCAGCAGCAGCAAAATATATACATACAAGTAGGCACTTGCGACTACAAAAATGTACAGTCTATAAGAAAATGTTGGCCTTTATTTAGAGATGTTTTTTTATTTATTCACATAAAATACTATATTTTCTGAAATGGTTATAATATAAAAAAATGATATAAAAAATATAATTAAACTGTAGACTGCAAACCTTTAGAATTTGTATGAGAAAATATTTATTGTATTAACCAGAAAATACGAATATTTTTAAATTAAAAATTTGTAGTGTTATAATAAATATTTAAAATATAACTAGTTAATCTACGAAAATATTTTTTTTAGCTCATATTTTCAGAAAATCATTCCGGTTACTCGAAAAGATGTAAAATCAAAAATGGATTTTACTGTCTTCACCAAAAATCAGTATTTTTGGTAAGAACGCAAGACAACTAATCATTGCTGAACAAGCATACATGAAAATGACAGAAGTTAACGTCTTTTGGGGAATGCAATATTTTAGTGGAAAATAACTACTTTTCTTTTCTGTTTTTCTGTTAAGGGAATGCAACCATTTGTGGCACCTGGTCATTAGGGAGCACGTGTGTGTGTGTGTGAGCATCCGACTGACACAACTGGAAATTTAAAGTGCAACATCAATCACTGGTGCAAACGGGGACAAGACTTCTTTTTCTACTTCTTCTTCTTTTCACGCCTTTTGGCAAGGAGCATTTATGCCTTGGCTAGGCCCAGAATATATATCCTAGCTTCCTGTTGCTCAACATTTTAGCTGATCCCCCCGATTGCCCCGCAAAAGCCCGCAACTCGAATTGTAATGACGCAACAATTTAAAGTTTGTCGTTGATGCTGCAAAACTCGGTGCTAATGGCGTCAGCGTCAACGTCTCTCAACTCATCTTTGGACCCCCACATCCCCGTTCTCAGGAACCAGGACCCAATCCTGTCGTCCTGATCCTGTCCTGTCCTGCCGTCTTGTTTTTGTTGTTGTTGATGACGGCGATTATTTGCGCCATGAACACATGGAAGCAGCTGCAAAAGGTGGCGTCCTGCGTCCTGCATCCTGTAATCCTCCTCCATCGACGGCCCCATTTTTAACCTCATCTCCCCCCGCAACTCAGTTCCAACCTTCGGCCAGGTTGTCCAGGCGGAAAAAAACACTGGAACAAATTCTAAGGTTCTTCGTTGTGGTTAGAATAAAATAATTGTTTTTCTAAGTTTAATTTTTTGTAAAAAGAATATAGGTATATATAAATATTTTTTTTTAAATATTAATTTTGGAATTTATACATATAAATAAAATTAATAAGTGGTTAATTTCAGAATTGATCTCAAAATTCAAAGAACATTTTTCTAAATAAATAAAATTTTCTTTCCGTGCATTAGTGACTCCGTGTGCAGCAATTCAAACTTTAAGCTGTCGACGAGGCAAAGTCGAGCACTGCAACTGCAGACACTGCGAGTGCGAGCGAGAGAGGTGGAGGCGGGCAGAAGGAGACAGACAGATAGAGCCAGACACTTGGCAATACAAATTGAAATACTTCTTCCTCGGCTTCTTCCTTATCCATATCTATATCTATATCTATCGCCGTCTCTTTCGCAGTGAGCTTGACTGTTGCTCTGCAGGATGTATTAATATAAATGAATTATTCGGATGAGCCAGTATATACGGTGGGTTGCCCCTCGCCCCCTGATAGATATTATGATGGATACGCCTTAACGATGCTGCCGACGACATTGGGGGACAGGATCAGGATAAAGGACGAAGGACGTGGCAGGACGTTGCAGCTTGCTTCCCAAAAAGTTGGCCAAAACTTTATGGCCACGCAGAAGGAGCGGGGGCCACCTGAGCACCTGACAATCCCGACAGAGTCAGCAGGGCTAAGAAAGCCAAGAAAATGAAAAGGAATCACTCGAGGCCCGGAGTTTGGGATCTAATGACTGAAATGAGCAAAATATATGTAGTCCAGATGACTCTGGTTGAGAGTTTATCAATCGAAAGTATGAAAATATTTTTTATTTATTTATCAGATGTAGTAAGTAAAATATTAAAAAAAATTATTAAGCATAGGTACCATACCTTAAAAAACTACCAATTCAAATATTTAAGCAATTTTAAATAGGGAAACAATATGAGGCATGACTAAGAAAGAGCAAGAGCATATATTTGTTTGAGTATTTATCTTTTTTAAACATTATGAATGCGCTATTTCTAAGAAAATGTGTTAAATCTGTTGTAAGATATGTAAATCAAATATATTATTTGGATATATTAATGGATACCAGAAAAAAGATCAAAAAATATTAAATCTCAAGTAGTATAAATTAATTCAATAAATATGCTAGTTTTTCTTAAATTTTAAAAATATTCGGAAAAATTACTGTATTTTCTTCTCGAGCTGAAATAATTTCTAGAGTTTGTCATTATTATTTTATATATATATTTATATTTATTAACTATTAATTTTAATAAATTCCTTAAGTTCTTTGCAAAAAAACCTCGACGAAAAGGTAAAAACATCTGGGTATTTAATCCCCCAACAACTATACAGGCTTTGGACCAAGAACAAAGCCCATGGACACACACAACCTGCCCCGAAGATTATTTTCGTCATACCAAGCAACCAAATTTCCATACCATACCCAAGTATGTTTTCGGTGTTGCACACTATTTTGGCCATGGCCCTGGGGCGGTAACTGCAATTTAGACAAGTTTATTTATATGAACGTGCGGCCCCGAGCGAAACACAAACGCACAAGGAGCTGTAGTGTAGTAGTGTAGTATCCAAGGATCTGCATCCATTGTTGCTGCGGTCGGAACTTATTGTCGTCGCATGGCACATTGAAATGGCAATGGCGCCTGGGGCTGGTTCGCTAGTCCGCTGCCAGCTAATGATATAATGAGCTAATCAATACAATTAATTAGCATTATCTGCATCTTAAACGGGGCAGCGGCAAAAGGCAATCGCCGAGGTGGTTCTGAATTGGAGTGAAGTGAAGTGGATTGGAAATGGGCGAGGAGGTGACCCCAAAAAGCCGCAACCGAATCCCAATTTGACTGACTGCTTGAACGGCCGAACTACGGGGAACTTAATACACACACACACACTGAGAAATAAGATAAAGTTAGTGTGAAGGAATAATATATATTTATAATTCCGAAATATTAAAGGATTTTTGAAATTGATTTTCAACATTCATAATTCGTTTTAGTGTTTTAAATACATAATGTCTTAAGAAGGTGTCAAAAAGTATGCAGTAAAAAAGTTTATCAGACTTCTGGATTAAAAATATATTGTTGCGCACTTTTAGACAGCTTTAAAATACCAGTCATAATGCGAATAAATAAAAAAGCTTTTTGTTGCTTTCAAAATACTTTTTCTAGTGTATGAAAAGGCGTGCAGAGCAGGAGGTCACAAGGCATACCTTCTGGGGTTGGGTGGTGTACAGAGGTTCCATCCTGTACTCCGATTCCTGGGGTGCCCGCTGCTGCGTAAAAAGTGGGCTAAATGTCGTTGGCAGTCGGCTGGCAGCCCAGCTGGGATCTCTACCTCTTTTAGCCCATTTCCCAGGCCCAATCCCAATCCCAATCCCAAACCCAAACCCAAGGCAACTTGAGCGCTGTGAAGCGCTCAACGAAATGGTCCAATTGCCGGGCAAGTGGACCAAAAGTGCCGACGTCGCCCGTTGGATCTATGTCTACATTCTGTCTCCCCTTGTCGTCCGTTTCCGACTTTATATATCACACCTTAACGTAAACTTATGGTTTCAAAAATTAATGTTTTAAAAAAATAATCAGTGTTGTACAGTGAAATTAAAAGAAATTAGTGTTTTATACACTAATAACTAAATAATTTGTACTCTTAATTAATGTATTTTAGCAAATGTGATAGCTAATCGACACATTGTCTCATTTACAACTTTTAGCACACGGAAATGGCCAAAAATTCCATTTGGCCAGTGTTGGGAAGCCAAATTAAAAGCATGCCTATCAATGGCAAGAAATCCCTAAGCCCCGTAAACAATTTACGCACATTTGCCAATTAATTATGGCACGAAATTTGATTTCGTTTCGCAATTAGAATGCAATTCCATTTTTATCAACGGATATGCGCGCCACGATAATTTATGATGGAAAAACAATTAAATTTATTCAACACACACAGAAATGGGCTGTAATGCAAGTGTGTGTGTGTGCACCCAAACTACGAGCCATATCGATGGATAGTTAGTTGTATATATTATTGATAACAATAACTAATAACTTAAGCAGCTTTTGTGGCTTCAATTCCACAATTGGGTGCTTTTTGTTCATTATATATATATATATCAATTTTTTTATGGTGGGGAATCGGACAAATATGTAAGCATAATGTAACTACAATGCATGGGAGCGTGGAACAGAATGCGAGACAATACAAAATGCTGGGGCCAAAAATTCTAAACAAAATTGTGGCCACTAACCGAAATTGCATTTGCTGCCGCTGCACTCCACCACTATTTTCCCATTTTCCATATCCCGTTTCCCATTTTCCACCCATTTTCCTGGTCCGCTATTCTCCCACTGTTATTGTTGCATGTCATAAATGATGCTGCTAAAGAGTCAAGAATAATCCGCTTTTGTGTGCATATCACAATCAAATGCTAACCACCAAACGCACAGCCATTTTAGCCCCCTCCCAAAAAAAGGGAAAGAAATACAAAATAAATACGAAAGACAAAATGAACGATGAAGTACAAAAAAAGTCCCCCAGACGGCTTTTCCCCCGACAGTGAGAATGATATTCCTGGGATGGCACCCAAAGGATTCAAAGGATACTACTGTTCCCTCAAAAAGCAAAACAAAAAAAACCCAAGCAAAAAATACCTGATGAAGCCAACTCAAGTGCTAAATAATCGTAAACTTGGCAAATCAGAGATAAGGCAATTCCTGACATTTCGTAGAGCTCAGTTTTTTGAAGGACAGCCGAGTTGGGAAATGTAATATAAGATTAAATTTTGATGCTTTTAAACCGCAATAAATGTTGAATAAATTTGTCTAATAGTTTTTAGTAAATATGTATTTGAATTTATATATCTTTAAGATTCTAGAATACTTTTTGGCGCCCAACGTGGGGCCAATACTTATTTTTTATATTTAAATATTTCAGATTCTACAAGAATTTTTTTTTTTTTTTTGTTTGCTTTTTGGATCTTCAAATGGAATAGATATTACTTCTATATCCACCCTCCCCGCAAATGCGCTTCGTAGATCATTAACCAAAATTGCAACTCTCTGCCATATTTCACCAACAATTTCACCCAAAATGGACTCAAGGCGGGGGGCGTGGCTGTGGGCAGGGGGCAAAGGGCGGGGGGCTGGGGTCATGTGTTGAGGATGAGGAAGTTACAAACAACATGGTGCAGTATAGCAGCAACAAAAGTTACAACAACAGCAGGCACATCAAACGCTATAAGAACTGGGACGCTTATGCACACAAAAACACACACACATTCAAATGGAAGGGCTCGCACACATACAAATGCACGGACGGGACATATACACATGGCCGCTAGATGGCGCTGGACCAGGCATGAAATACTCTCAAAGTTTTGTAATAGTCAAATGTACACTTAAGAATTCTTTTAATTATATAGAAAATAAATTGATTTAATTTGAACCTTACTTCAATATTTTAAACACATCGACAGTTTTGTAATAATCAAATTAACACTGTTAAGAAAGTAATTTAAGGGTAAAATTAAATTATATTAATACTGTAAAAAATAATTGCATTTATTTATTTTTCCTAATAAAATATTTATATTTTAGCATATAACAAAACATATATTATTAATTAACATACCATTTTTTAATGTGTTAAAATGTTTTTTCGAGTGCACTCCAAAAGTCGTGGCTTCAAATCCGAAGCCTAAGAAAATACAACAACAGCAAAACGAAGAACGAAAAGAAATCAACAGAAACACATACTCACCACAAATAGACACACACATACACATGCTGTCATACACACACATAAGCCAACAGACACACACACACACACACACAAATTAAAAATGCAGATTTCTATTGCAACATTCGGAAGTGCTTG